TGAATTAACAACGGTCACATACGGCTGTTCGAGTGCCCCTTACCTTGCCACAAGGGCGATGACACAGCTAGCTATGGACGAAGCAGAAAACTTTTCAATAACAGCTGGCGTTGTCAAGGAGGATAGCTACATAGATGATTTTCTCACTGGAGGCAAAACAGCTGCAGCCGTCGTGGAAATCTACAAACAGTTAAAGGCCATGCTGAGCCAAGTTTGCTTCGGTGTGCATAAATTTTGCTCCAATAGCGCTGAAGTTCTTCAGTCCATCCCAGCCGAGTTGCAGGAAAAGCAGGTAGACTTCGAGATGTCTGATATCAACGACACTATCAAGACTTTGGGGCTAATATGGAATCCTAATTACGACTACTTCGCTTTCAACGTACCACACCTGGAGCTGAATGGAGGCAGAATCACGAAAAAGATGGTTCTATCGGAAATTAGCAAGCTTTTCGACCCACTGGGTTTCCTAGGACCGGTGGTGACCACCGCAAAACTGATAATGCAAGAGCTATGGCGTTTGAAGCTGGGTTGGGACGATGAGTTGCCCGACGAGCAGATGCAGATGTGGTTAATGTTCCGTAAACAACTGGTTGCAGTACGGAATATCAAGAAGAAGAGATGCGTCATTCCAGGCGATGCTACGAAGATCGAGCTACTTGGTTATGCATCCAAACGGGCATATGGTGCTGTCCTGTACGCTCGGAGCGAGCTCAGCGATGGTACAATAAACATTCAACTAGTGTGCAGTAAATCCCGAGTAGCCCCACTGAAGCCGACGACCATACCTAGGCTTGAACTGTGCGGTGCACTAGTACTGGGCCAACTGGTTCAGAAGGCCATTAAATCTTTGAAGGTGAAGTTCGACAGCGTCAAGTTGTACTCCGACTCGATGATTTGTTTGAGTTGGCTGAAGAAGTCCCCAGCGGTCTTGAACGAGTTCGTGTGCAACCGAGTAGCCACCATGGGGCTATGTCAAGTCCGAGAATAATCCCTCTGATGTGCTTTCGCGAGGATTATTTCCAGAGCAGCTGATCGAGATTGAACTTTGGTGGAGAGCCGCACCAGAGCAGCGACAACGTTGTGAAGCAGAAGATCAATTAGTTCCTGTGTTGGCAGATGAAGAACTTCCGGAGCTTCGGAGTACAAAAACCATTGTTGCTGTAACCGTGGAAAAATCATGCAGTAACTGGAAACGGGTTAGCAACTTCAACCGTCTGCAACGTGCTTGGGCGTATGTGTGGCGGTTTGTTGAAATAACCCACACGAAGAAGAGAAATCCTGTCAGCAATCCGTTATCAGCCAGCGAATTGTCTAGGGCGACTCAAACCATCTTCAAGGTCATTCAACAGGAGGAGTTTAAGGAGCAGCTCAAGCAGTTGCAGTCCGGGGACAACAAGCGGAACAATCTGTCCAGCTTGGCGCCTTTCGTGGACGGCGAAGGCTTCATCAGAGTCGGTGGTCGACTAAAATATTCAAACATTCCCTACAAAGGCAAGCACCAATTACTGTTTCCAGAAAGGCATCCAGTGGTCAAGTTGCTAGTACGCCACCTACATGAGAAGAACCTGCACGTAGGACAGAACGCATTGATTTCGATAATTCGTCAGCAGTATTGGCCGATTAAAGTGAAGACAACCGTCAAACGGATTACCGGTCGATGTTTCAGGTGCTTCAAGCACAAACCACCACAGTTGAATCAGTTTATGGGCGAGTTGCCAAGTTGCCGAGTCACACCTGCACCAGTGTTTGCTTCGACTGGTGTAGATTTTGCTGGACCATTCATAATCAGGGAAAGTGGTAAAAAACCGAAGTTTCTGAAAGCATACGTTGTTGTATTTGTGTGTATGGCAGTGAAGGCAGTACATTTGGAGCTATGCACAGATCTGCGCTCAGAGACTTTCTTGGCAGCATTGCAAAGATTCACCAGTCGACGTGGCATTCCTTCAAACATTCATTCGGACAATGCCACAACATTTATCGGGGCTTCCAATGAACTTGCTGAACTACGAGAACTATTCCAAAGTTAGTTGCACAAGGATAGGCTGACCGAGTTCTGTGCCACAAAGGGTATTACCTGGCATTTCATCCCGCCGCGAAGTCCTCACTTCGGCGGAGTTTGGGAGGCCGGAGTAAAGGCAATGAAGTACCTACTCAAACGCGTTGTGGGAGAAACGAGGTTAACATTCGAAGAAATGACGACGTTCCTGGCCGAAGCGGAAGTGATTATGAATTCTCGTCCTAAGTGCCCCTTATCAGACGATCCCAACGATTTCCAGGCTTTGACCCCTTCGCATTTCCTGATTGGACGCACAGGTCAAGCAATTCCCGAACCGTCGTACGACCAATTGAAGATTGGCAGGCTGTCAAGGTGGCAACATGTGCAGTACATGAGAGAACATTTTTGGAAGCGATGGTCTGCTGACTACCTGCACACGCTGCAGACACGGCAGAAATGGAAGGGCGATGTTCTGGACATCAAAATAGGTGCTTTGGTGCTACTGCGAGAGGAGAACGTTCCACCACAGCAGTGGAAATTGGGCCGCATCACTGCTACACATCCAGGTGAGGACAAGGTGGTGAGAGTGGTCACCGTCAGGACGGCGAGTAGCGAGTTTATACGGGCAGTGACTAAGATCTGTCTGTTTCCGGATGTTGACTCTAACGATCCAACGGGGGGTGTATGATTGCTCAGTAAGAAGAATACAGTCCACTTATTTCAGTGTATACACATACAATGTTGTATTTGCTTTACCTGTTAAATGAAAAACCTTGTCAGTTGAATTATTAGTAAAATAAATCTTGTACCGAGCAGATGCATTCAATTTTAGTTCTTTTCAACCATCGAGAAATCGATAGTCAGAACCACGCCAAAAACTTTCCCCCAAACAAGTGTTAAAGTGACTACAATAAAAAAAAAGTCACAGTATTCTATATGCGCCATACTACGAACACGCTGTACTATAAACTACATAATGATGATACATGATAATTTTATGTTAGGGTTTTTATCCGAATTTGAGAACAAAGAGGTGCTTAAAACCCGTATGATCGTTATACCCGTGCCTCCCCTACTTAGCTGACATATGAGCCAACATTTTGTTCAATATTGAAAGTTCCATCTTCTGATAAGGAAAACAACTTACTGTTGCGTTATAATAAAATGTAACCTTCACTCTCTTATCTGCTTCAGAGACCTAATTTAAAACTGTTGATGAAACTACTAAAAAAAATATCGTATTTTTTGGTAATCATTTTATCCCACAACATTCATGGCGTCTTTGTGGACTTTACTGGGGTGTTACTCCAAAATATATAACGGCTGGTTAAGGATCCCACACTTGAATTTTCATAATTTATTACATTCAAAAAAAAATACTTGAACCAACATTTTACATATTTATTGATCACTAGCTGAGTGTGCCCGGTCTTGCTCGGGATTCAATATTAACTTGAGTTTATGCGCCGATTTAAAAAAAAAAACATGCTATATTGTACGTAGTCCGCCCCCCCCCCCCTATTATCTAAGGGGCTACCCCCTATGATTATCTCCTTATACCCCCACACTCGCCCTCACATGCCTAATTTGGTTCCATTTGCTTGATTAGTTCTCGAGTTATGCAGACATTTCTGTTTCATTTGTATGGGAGCCCCCCCTTACAGAAGGGGGAACGGGTCTCGAACCATCATAAGAACCTTCCACGGCCCCAAAAACCCCTGTATACAAATTTTCACGCCAATCGGTTCAGTAGTTTCCGAGTCTATAAGGGTCAGACAGACAGACAGACAGACAGACAGAAATTCATTTTTATATATATAGATAGATAGATAGATTTTTGTATGACTTTGCAAATATTTAAAGATTTTAAAGGAAATATGCTAAAATATGATGCATTCTACAGATATGCATGAATAACTAAAAAATGATCAACATTCGACGGCAAAGCTGTTTGTCATAAAAATTTACCCTCTTTTTGCTATATTAAATCAACTACAGGTCTTATTTTGGTATCCACTTTTGGTGATTCAATGTCATTTTGCTCCTAAAAAATCTTGATATGTGAGAATAGAAAAAAATCACAGAAAAATTTAGCATCTAGCAGGCCATGACAATTATTTTTCATATGGTAGGGACCGCATGGAATGTGTAAAAGATATAAAATGGTTGAGTTGTACTAAATTTTGAAGTATTAGAAATATTTCTTCAGTTATGGTTATGAAAAATCGACTTTTTTGAAAAATTTCAATCTAAATTACGTTTCTCAGTGTTGCCGACTTACAAAATTTTGTTGGTTGAGGACCCAGGTTTTCAGATAGAGTGTTATTTTGGGCCACCCTAATACATTTCAAATTTAGAATAAAATAAACGTCTATCTCAAAACAAGTATCATTACTAAATAGTGCTATCGATGCGACAGTTGCCCATTGTCTCCCTGTACAAAACTGAGTTAATATAACACTGTGAGTGTGCTAGCAGCACATTACTATTAAAGCAATTTATTCTATCTAACTCAATCACGTAAATAACATTATTTGTCCATCATCATCAAATAAATTTGGAACACTACCCCTTCGGCAGCGAAATTCACCCAGGTCGTTGTCGCAACACAACCAACTATCTTTTTAACCAAACATGGTCAGAAAACGGTTTACGCATCGAGTACAAACCTATCGTTCTTCATCCACAAGCAGCGTCTGCATTAGAGCAGTATTGCCTTGAAACCAAATAACATTTGATTACAATAAACAATACACTCACTGAGATGGAAACAGGTCGTTTTTCTCCATCGTTATCTTTTCATCCAATTAAGCTTTTGACTAGAATAACATAACCCGACAGGTTACCTCGCTGGTCCTTCGATTACGATTACCATCCAATACATTAACGAATCAATTTTCGAATCCGTTCGAATTTGTTCTTCAGAAATTTATGAAAATCATATTCCATCCGTACTCAATTTGTTCCATCCGTAACTCAATTTATGGCGGCTAAATTTATTTACCGTCCGCAAATAATCCGCTTTGGTTCCTTTGTAGCTCCTCCTTGTTCTCGGTCATCCTACAGGGCCTCAACAACAACCACCACCACCATAAACAGATAAATCACAAAGTTACACACCGGGCGTAACATTTCAGAATCCACCCGGTAACATTTTACTTTCGCACCAAGACTGGCCATGCTTCTTCCCTGGCTAGCCTCCATCAATCACCCCCCTTGATCTTATTAACATTTCAATCTACCAATCAGACCACAAACATATTGCCCTTCTCGTCCGTTAGAACGCATCCATCACGTGCTTGCACTTCCAGTATTCCATAGATGGACACCGTTTAATTGACACGCTTCTTCTCCAAAACGAACCGTATCTAATATCAATTTATCAAACTAGAACAAACCAAACAAGTTGCGACTAGATCATCTCAACCAGTTGATTCTAAACTGAGATATAAGGTGAACCGAGAGGAACTTTGAAACTTTCAAACCGATCCGGCCGACAGATAACGTAAGACTGACTGGCTGACTGGCTGGCTGGCGGTGTTAACCTTGAGATATACAGAATTCAATGTTACGCTCAGAGCCGCAGCATCCCGCAGCATGCGACCGAGGACGATGCGATGGACCATTCCCCAACAGGGAGGACCCATCCGATCCACATGGCGGTGGAGAAAGCGCGCCAAACACCAACGGCATGCAACTGGTGTAGCTTGGAGAGCAGTCAGAGCAAAAGATGCTGCGAAGCTGGTCTCATCGCTCTCCGGGACTCTCCTGCTGGAGAAGTGCCTCTTTGGAAGCCGGGTGAATTGCTCAGAGAAAGACCGAATCCGCTCTGTTTATGCTGCTTCGTCGTCCATGTGGACTGAACAGCTGGGAGTTCAACTACATAGCGAGTACAATGAAAGAAGTAACAACTTGAACTCCGTGGAAGTGGCTGTTTGTTGCACCTTTGGAAACGTTCGTTATATAGGGGTAGTTATCATGTACTTTCTATACCTAATTAAGTTAGACCAGATATTCGGTGCTGCACATCAGGCTGGGCATCTTTATTTGCTCTTTATTAGGACGGATTTATAGTTGCATATTGGCATAAAGTCGTTTGGCATAATGTCGTTTGGCATAAAGTTGTTTGACATAATGGTTGTTTGGCATAGAAATTAATATAATAACTTGAAAAATCATAAAGGTTTCCTTCATAAACATATTCAGTCATCGTTTCACAACTCGATATTCTTTATAAAGGGTGTCCACAGTTAAATTGCATCACTTAGAAGTACTCGCCAAAAATAAGTATCTCAACCGATTGTCATGAAATTCTCAGTGAATGTAATACCACAGAAGGAAATTCTTCAAACATATCATCAAGCGTAATGTTCATGCACACTAGGACCCTCTATAATGCACATTGATTTGCAACCGGAGCATCTCTCGTTCATGAAATTTTTCCACTAGTTGCTTTTCCCTCGATCTGTCAACATACCAGCTGTGTTGAATAAAAACAAAACAAAGACAAGTCAGTTATGTCGATTTGATTGAATTTTTCAGAAAAACATATCCGTAAGAGATACGGGAAATGGCTCTAATGTTGGCCTATGTATCTAAGATTGAACTCATCGCTAAAAATCTGCTATTTATCATTTTATCTAGATGAACGCGTCATTGGGACGTTACTAATGGCTATTTTTGGTCGCTATTGAAAATTTAGTCAATTGCTTAATTTATGTATGGGCCCGAATTAGGGGCATTTAGGTCAATGTTACATCCATTTACCATATTACAGAATCTCAGAGTCCGGAAAATTGTGAAAATAGGAGAGATATTCTGCAAACTTCATAAATTTTTTTTTTTAAATTCAGGTCCGTCCGATTAATTTCTGAAAAATTGTATGAACTCAAAGATGCTCAAAGCACACAGTCCAGAAAACTTAAACGAGGTTAAACAAGTTCCATTAGCGTCAGAAAGAAAAGAAAAAAAAATCATGTCAATTAACGTTCCATTAGCATCTGAAAAATTCTGTTCTGAGATTTCATGGAAACACCAAGAATTTAAAGAAAGTTCTGAACAATTCGGTAGCTCGAGAACAATATGCACAGTTAAAGATCTGTTATGGTAAGTTCCGGTAGCTTTAGGGCTTCAGTAAAATTTCGAGAACTTCAGTGAACATCGATGAGCATCAGGGCAGTTCCATTAACTTCGAAGATGCCAAAACTTCAGTTGAGTTTAAAGATCTTAAAGGATGCTACGTAACTTTAGCTAGTTCTGAGCACTCAGTGCAGGTCCAAGATTAGGAAAACTATGGAAACATCAGGGGAGTTCCTAAAACTTCTGGTAAATTTCGAGTACTTTAGATCAGTTCCATTAAATTCAGATAAAAGAGATTCTTCATGAAGTACCAAAAATTAAAGTTAGTCTTGAGAACATCTGGAAAGTTTAGAGTGCTTAAAAAAATGTCCGAAACATCAAATCAGTTTCAAGAAATCCAAGAAACTGTAGAGATCTGACAAGAAGTTTAATTCATTTCAGGGCTAGTACCATAGAGGTAACTCTAAGACTAGAAGCTCCCGAAATAACGTGCTCAACTTTTTGGCTCAGCCCTGGTACTCTCTTCAGTCTCAAGATAATCGATTCACCCCTCGAAACATAGGAAAAACCACTAACCCCTCATTTTATCTGTCAAACTTTCATAGCGAATCAAAACAAACATTGCGTAGTACTAGAATTTCGACTAGAATGGGGTAAATTAATCGTTTGCTTGGGACCAATAGGCTAGTCAAGTAGTGAGCCAATTTAAAATCGTTAGTTTCGTATTGATTGTTGCTAGTACTCTAGGCACTTTAGATAAATCCAGAGAACTTTAGGAAAGTCAAGAAACCTTCAAAAAATTTAAGAGAACATTTGGAAAATTGTAAAATCTTTGATCTATTTATCTTCTTTAAGATGTTTCAGGAATTTTAAAGACGTCCAGAGATCTACTGATAATTTTAGAAAACTATAGACATATTTTAAGCCTTTACAGATGTTCAGAGATTTTCATAGAAGTGTAAAGATTTTTAAGACAGTTCCATTAATTTCAGGACAGTACCAAGAACTTCCGGAGAATTGTAGAAACTTTAGGGTAGCTTCGAGAACACCTTGGAAGATCAGAGAACCACAGGGCAGTTCCAGAGAACTTGAAGAAAGTCAAGAACTCTTGATTGTTAGAAAGAACCGGAACAGCAAAGTTTAAAAGTAGAATGGATTTTATTTAACGACTAGCTTGAGTGGAGTCTTGAACAGGAATGAAAAGTTTTTCACCGTTGTTTATTTAAGAAAACTTAGGTTGCTAGGGGTGACGTTCGGTCTCCAAGGAGGTGATCAGCACACTGCGTTACCGATTTACTCCAACACCCCCCCTGAATCGGTCAGTCCTAGGAGGGTCCTCAGTTCGCGGAAACGTCCAGGTTCCAGGGGCTTGGTGAACGTGTCCGCTATTTGGTTTGCTGTATCAATTGCTTCGATTTGAAGTCTTCCTTGTGCCACATGGTCGCGCAAAAAATGGTGCTTTACATCGATGTGCTTGACACGCTTGCTTTCGGTGTTTGTGGCCATTGCAATGCACCCACGGTTGTCTTCGTACACCTTGAATGCCGTGTCCGGTCGAACTTGCTTCAGGTCTTCAAGGATTCCGTGCAGCCACAGCCCTTCGGAGGCCGCGGCACTTAAAGCTGCATACTCGGCTTCACACGACGACAGTGCAACGGTTTGTTGCTTGCGGCTTGCCCAAGACACGGTGTTCCCAAAGACCTTAAAGACGAAGCCACTAACGGATTTCCTATCCTCAACATCCGATGCCCAGTCAGCGTCTGCGTACCCGAAAAGTGCCTCGGCGTCGTCGTTTTGCTTGTACTGGAGCTTCAAGTTCTTCGTTCCCTTCACGTAACGGACCACTCTCTTCAGGGCTTGCCAGTGGGCCTCATCAGGTTGAACTTGGAAGCGCCCTAGGTATCCAACAGCGTAGCATATGTCCGGTCGAACACACAGCATCGTATACATCAGGCTGCCCAGCAATTGACGGTATGGATGCGACACAGGATTCGCAGCTTGTGGTGGCACGAAACAGCCTTTCTCCATTGGGGTTTTGACTTGGTTACAGTCTTGCATGCCGAACTTCGTCAGCACACGGTCCACAGCAGCTTCTTGCGCCAGGTACATGCATCCGGTGGCGCGGTCGTATCGGATCTTCATTCCAAGGAAATGATTAACCACGCCGCAATCCGTCATCTGGAGCTTCTTGGAAAGAGCACGCTTGATCTCCTTCACCAGGTCCAGTCGATCGCCAGCAATGAGCAAATCGTCCACGTAGATGATTATGTATACCCCCCCTCGATCGTCGATCCTGGTATATAGACAGTAATCATGCCGGGAACGGGTAAAGCCGAAATCCAGTAGAAGGTCGTTTAGCTTGTTGTTCCAACAGCGGGGGCTTTGCTTGAGTCCGTACAGCGATCGATCCAGCTTGCAAACGAAGTTCGGCGGTGCTGCAACTCCTTCGGGTATGGCCATGTAGACGTCTTCTTCAAGCTCACCGTAGAGGAATGCGGTCTTCACATCGAGTTGGTGAACGTGCATCCTTCGGTGGGTTGCTACAGCAAGAACGGTTCGTATCGTGGCTAAGTTTGCTACGGGGGAATATGTTTCGTTGTAGTCGACTCCGGGCTTCTGTTGGAATCCCTTCGCCACCAAGCGCGCCTTGTAACGGATCGGTTCGCCATGCTCGTCCGGCTTGATTCGGAAGACCCATTTCGATTTGAGCGGAACCACACCAGCAGGGCATCTCACCAATCGCCAAGCATGGTTGTCCGCTAGCGACTGCAGTTCCTCACGGACCGCTTGCTGCCAAAGAGCTTCGTCGGCTCGTCCAGCGATCTCCTTGTACGCCTCCGGGATATCGAAGATCGAACGCTCGGCCTCATCTCGTCCAACGGAACCGTCAAATAGTACATCGGAAACGTTATGGGGAACATCTGCAGAATGGGATTGCGCGGCAGTGAAAATTTTTCCAACCAGAAATTCTTTCAACTTACCGGGGAGTCTGCGCTCCCGTTCGCTGCGCCTCGGGGTTTCCATTTCGAGGTTTGAACCACGGTCTAGTTGCGAAGGGAGCGCTCCGGTTTCTTCAACACCGTCGTCTTCAACCTCGCCTTCTTCATCATCAGTCAGGATCAGTCTTGTAAACAGTCGACATTTTCGATAGCGTTCACTAAGGGCCGTTATGTCAAAGTTATGATTCATTCAATACTATGAACGCGACCATGATTTCGTTTACCCGTCTACAGCTGTCATGCGCAAAAAAAGTTTTTGCTTCCAACACGAGAATGAATCGAATGTTTTTGTTTCGTCTCTTTCCTTCGAACGTATACAAAAGAGCAATGAAAGAAAACTGGAGAAGTAGACCATCATTTTCTCTCTCCCTATCGCTGTCAGTACTGTCGATTGAGTTGCGTTCATTTGAATTTGTTTACAATACTTTGAATGTCGTTTGATAGAAGTTTCATAGCCAAAGTGTTATTAAAAAACTGAATTCTCGCGTCACTTTTCATAACGTCCAATCTACATTGATCGATTCTCTTCATCGACTCTCTCTTTCGTAAATAACTCGGCTGCAGGCATATTTCGGGCTGATTTTGCTACATATTATTTTAAAAGAAAGTATTATCAAGCATGTTGGACGATGAGAATAGCTTAGAATGTTTTTGGAAGCGAGTTATTAACGAAAGAGAAAGTCGATGAAGAGAATCGATCAATGTAGATAGGACCTTATGAAAAGTGACGCAAGAATTTAATCGATTTGTCACGTTGGAAAAGTGGTAACAGGTATGTTTTGTTGATTTAGTCCATCACAACGCATTGCAGTTATGTTTTGTTTCTACTTCTAGGAAAATAATGTGGATTTAAAATCACTTGCCGATTCGCACGCGTAATGTTTTTTGACATCGGTTCTGGGGAGTGAAACGACAACAATAAGGTCAACAACGACGAGCAGCAGCCGCGGGGGGAGGAAAATAATATCGCCGACAGTACGGTCAAACAACAGAACAAAACAGCTGGAGCGATCGTCAACAACACCCTTTAGAGCCTGATCCAGGCGTCCACAGTAGGAGCGTACGCGACGGCCCTCTGCCAGAAGGAAGATCACCAGCTGGAATTTAAAAAATGAACTGGAAATGAAGAAGAGAATCACCTTCCCGACATCAATCTGGCATTTTCGCTGAAAGACGACGGTGTTAAACGGTAGAGTATCGAGGCCCGACGACGAAAGTGAAGATTGCCAACAAAGGCTACGCAAGTTGCTCGAGGCACAGCTGACCACCGCTTTACGATTGACGATGACGTCTACCTGGGAATAATCGTTTCGCACTTTACCGGGAAGTACGGTAGTGGTGAGTGTGTTTGTTATAATGTCAAGTGTTTTGATAGATTGTAATTATATTTCCTTTTACGTAGAACATCGGAAGCTGTACTTTCCGATAGCGTTCCGCTTCGAAAGGAGTCTCTGGCTGTACACCGACACCATTCAGGCCATTCCTAGCCGAACTACCAAAGTACGGTCTAATGCCGTTCAATTTGCGCAAATTTAAGGAGGAAGCCAAGGCCAAGATGGGAATGCATAACCAACAAAATGGTCGAGCCGTTCCAAGTAGTATGTGAAACACAACGAAATTGAGCGAAATGACCTACTTCGAAGGCGAACATAGATCTGGTGCTAACGGACACCAAGAAGTCGGATGTGACTAAGGAAGCTGCTGCCGCTGTCGTCACCACCACCCCACCCCCATAAACACCACCAAGGATATTAGTGATGCTGCTGCTGCTCCTACTGTATCTGCCGATGGATCTCCCCCAGCAGCACTCAAGGACAAGAGAAGAAGAAGAAGGTCTTTGTCGCTGGTGAGGCCAGCAAGGAAAATGCTGCTAAGGCAAAATAGAGGTTGTACTGTAAGGTGTTCCGTTATTTCCACGGCAGTGTTCAGAAACGTTTGTGTTCATTGTTTTTAACACATGCATAGGTACCAATGTTTGGATTTTTTCGTGTCTCCTCACCTGCACTCGTTCGGAATATGGTTGAACCGGCAGTTTTTAAATAAAAGCATAGTTGATAAAACCTGAAATATCTATTTGTTTTAGCCAAGATATAATACTGCTATCCCCCCGTTTACGCGGTGGGTGGTACCGCCCACCCCCCACTTTCTCGGCGGTCCTTAAATCAATTGAGCCGATTTTCTGTATACAACTAGATTATGGCGGACATTAATCAGAAAAAGCGGTGAGTGAGCAGTACCACCCACCGCGTAAACGGGGGAATAGCAGTAGACTGCAAATTGGTTGAGTTTATTTGTATTTTTTTTTCTCTGCGTGTACGGTAGCACATTTCTACTCGAACAATCCATAATGTCCTAAGCAAGATTGATTTGTTCTTTTCGTCTATTTTCCCTTGCATTAATAACTAAGGCTCAGTTAGTGAGCAATAAAATATCCTCTTGTCATGTTTCTCGTGTCAAATGCAAGATAATAGCTTGTTATATTGAACTGTGTGGGAAATATCAATGGAAATAAAAGAAAAGGTATTCAAATATGACGAAATGCTCAGAATCAATCTTAAAGCTCTTCGTCAAGCCAATTGTACAAGTTAGGAACTATTTTCTCAAACAGTTCCTTGTTGAGCTTAACCAATAGGATATTTTCAAGGTTTGCTTCAGCGATTTTTGTTCGCTTGTCCGAAAGAACCAGTGCAAGAGCACTGAACGCGCGTTCCACGGACACCTGGTTTGAAGGTACCGTCAACAGCAGAGTTGCAACTTCGTATAGCTCGGGATGACTGAATTTTCGTGAAACCCAATATTTCCATACATCAAATGAGTAGAGTTGATGAGGCTCGAGATCAAGTGCTTTTAGCTGTCTCAGAAACGTGTCTGATGTTTGAATTCTTCTTGAGCCCGACTCAGGAAGCATTCCTCCAAACATCTGTGTCAAAAAGGCATCCAGCTCACTGTGCTGATCTTGATCTGATCCTGTTGCAGAGGTTGATGGTGACTGAGTTGGTTGGTCTACGCTGTGTGGTTTCATTCGCTTGATTCGCTCCCATGTTGCAATGATGAATTTCTGAACAATAGGATAAGAAAATACAGAACAAATGGAGGTTCAACATTCATTGAGTGACAAAAGCAATGGACTTACTCGAACTTCCTCTTTTTCTTCAGATGTGAACAGTGTAGAATTCAGGTAATTAAATCGTGGATCGATGAGAAGCGCGGACTTGAAAATCATATTGTCCTTCAACTGTTTGAGACGTTGGGTCAGTGAAGCCGTCAATGGTTCTACAAATCGGTTAGATTGAATTTTACTGACATCCATCACGGTTCTTATCCATGTCAAGTAAAAATCGTTCAGGGAAGTATGGTTGGATTGCATGTTCTTGGTTGCCAAGAAAACTGGTCTGAAAGCTGCAACATATTCCTTAATGAATGTCCACTGTTCTGTAAGATCTGAAATTTAAAATGGTAAGTGATAAATCTATGTACAACTTTTTATCAGTTTTTAACGTGTTTCACTAACCCAGCTCAGGATACTGCGATCCTAAGTCTCTGAAGAAATCTTCATGCTTTTCGAAATGCTCCAACATCGTGAAGATTCCTCCCCACCTGGTCCTAGCATAAAGGGGTGGGAGCGATTGGTTGTGCAGATCGAACACCGGTTTATAAGCTATCTTGCGGCAATTTTTTGTGACTGTAGTACATTGACGGATGTCAGCATCACATGCCTTGATAACATCGGTGACTGCTAGCTGCATTGTGTGCACAGCACACCTCACAAGCGTTATACGATTGAAAAATTCTTCTTCAATCGCTTCGGTCCAGTCTAGTCCAGGTAGCTCTTGTGATGGGTCATCTTCGTCGTCTTCAGTGGAGAGGATCATAACCTGCAAATATGACTGCAACTGCTTTACAGCTGCAATCATATTTGCACCGTTGTCGCATGTGATAGAAAATATCTGCTCAAGTGAAATGCCGTATCCTGCGAGTATTTCTTCGATTTTCGACCTTAGAAATTTGGCAGTGTGCCTCTCATTAAGTTCAATCATCCCTGAAGAAGAAATGAAATTATTTTGAGTATAAATCTATGATTTACATGTACGGCGAATCACGGGATATCCCATTCCATGCATTAAACTTTTTACGAAAAAGCTGTACTTGGAATAGTGTCTCCCTAATTATAAAGATGCAATCCGCCCTGTTTCAACTTGATAAGATGCTGTCACTTACCGACGGTCAGAATCACTACCTGCTGCTGCTCTGGGTCAAAAAATTGGATGTTGACACCCAGGATGTGTCGTCCATGTCGAGAAGCACTGTCGATTTTTAGACATATAAGCTTTCCGTTCACCAGACTTCTAATCGCGGATCGGATCTTTGTGGCAGCAACTGTTAGATGTCTGAGAACGTTAGGGCGATTCATGCACATATTTAGTGCTTCACCAATGGGTTTCAAGAGCAGTTGAAACCCTTCCCATTCGACACAGTGCAGGGGAACGTGATGGACGGTCACCAGTTTCAATATTGCTTCGACAAATGTTTGCCTGTCGATGGCAATCATTTTTTTTGATGCCTTCTTTCTCTTGGATGGTACTTCCGCCTCATCTTTAAGTAGTCCACGTGATTTGGCCAGAATGGTGTGTTCTGTACGAAGATGTCGGATAAAATTTCCGGCATCAAATTTTTCAGCTTTCTGTCGGTATTTGCAACTGTTGGCAGCATCGATGGCACACAATACAAATCCGTCTTCCGTGGAAATGCAGCCTTCCGCTAGGATCTCTCTGTATTTCTTTTTTTCGATCGATGATGCTGATACGTCCATTGCGATTGAAAAGTTTAGGATCTGTTTTAAAATCTTAACTTGAAACAGTAAAAATTGGTCGACAACAACACTAAGAACTTTTTCACGACTGTAGAATAGCAAAACAACGATAACCATAGAAAACGTAGACGTGTTCTTTTCTTACAACGTTGAACGAAGACGATGTGTGGTACTAAGAGTTGAGGAAGACGGAAAATAATCGACTTTTTCGTCCTCGCGGTTTCTTATGCAGCAACAGACGTGACGTCACATCTGCTGCTTCATAAGAACACCGTGAGAATGAAAGAGTCGACTAGTTTCCTTCCTCCTCACCTGTAGATAACCCACATTGGAACGAAGACGCTATAGAGTGAATTAGAAAGAGATAATGAAACTGCAAAATAAATGAACACGTGGACAGCTACGGTGAACGCAGTCGGTGTTTACAAAAAATGATGAATATCAAATGAATAAGATAGAGAAGTGTCGTGATGTCAAAATACATTTTTTGGCAAGCCTGTCGAACGAACATGCTTGTTACGAATGGCTTGACAAAAAGAGCATGATAATAGAGAATAAAGCGTCGGTGAACGTGACCGTTTACAAGACTGGTCAGGATGTCGTCATGTTGAGCCACCAGCGGCTCATCGGGTTGAACGGACTGTTCAGGGGTTTGCACGTCTTCCTCATCTTGATCCTCGAACTCGTACGGAGCAACAACCAAAGGAGTTTCGTCACGGATCTGGGTGGCAAACGGAAAACTGTTTTCATCGAACTTGACATCTCTGGCTAGGAATAACTGCTTCTTCTCTTTGTTCCACAGGCGGTAGGCGTTCGGCGCATAGCCGATCATCACAGCAGGCTTGCTTTTCGGATCCAGTTTCTTCCTCTGTGCCGTGGACACCCAAGCAAATGCTTTACAGCCGAACACACGTAGTTTACTAACGTCCGGCTTGTGACCAGTCCACATTTCCGCAGGAGTCTTCCAATCAGATACCGCGGTGGTTGGACTTCTGTTCGTCAGGTATACCGCCGCTAGAACCGCTTCATTCCACAGATTCTTCGGAGTTTGGGCTTCAATCAGCATCGCACGCACCTTTTCGACGATTGTCCGATTGAACCGTTCGGACACTCCATTCTGCTGTGGTGTGTACGCTGCGGTTGGCTCGACTTGGATCCCCTTGGAAACGTACCAATCACGCTGGTCATTGGAGCAATACTCGCGCCCTTGGTCGACAGTCAGCTTCGAAATCGAATGTCCCAGAGCGGCACTCGCCATGGCCTCGTACTCTCGAAACTTCTGGAACACCTCGGACTTCTTCTTGATGGGATATACTACTGCAAAGTGCGTGTAATCATCAATAAAGGTGACGAAGTACCGAGAATCATCCCAAGCCGCTGGTGTAATTGGACCGCACACATCGGAGTGCACTCGTTCTAGAGGTCTTGTAGCACGGACTCTAGTACCCGTGAATGGTTCTCGGCACTGCTTTCCGAGAACACAAACATCACAAAAATCCAATTTATCTGGTTTCTCGGGAATACCTGTTACCATGCCATGCTTCGCGAGTGTCTGCAAACTCTTGCTCCCCAAATGAGCCAGTCGACGATGCCACAGGCTACCAGTCACAGCTCCACACATGTTGGCCGCCACCGTATCGACACGGAGATCGAGCTCGTAAAAATCGCCCCGCATGGGACATCTCGCAATCAGGTCACGACCTTGCTTCATGATCGCTTCCTTTTTCGTGAATGTGACATCAAGATCCGCTTTTGCCATCTTCTTCACAGATAGCAAGTTCGCTCGAAGATCTGGTACGAAGAGGACGTTCTCCAAGCTGATATAGTTACCTTCCTTGTTGACGCCGTTGATCGTGCCACTGTGCCGGGAAATCAGGGATTGATCATCCTTCGCCACGTTTATGACGACAGGGTGCTTCAGCTTCGTGAGGTCGGCGAAACAGTGCTTCACATTCACAAGGTGGTCCGAGGCTCCGGAATCCAGCTTAAAGGAAACTGCTCCCTCGTCCTTTGTTTGGGAGCATATCCCGGTCATAAAAGCCACCGCCTTACCTCCAGCAGCAGCGTTAGCTTCAGCGCGCCCATCTGTCTTCAACTTCACACGACAGTCCTTGGCCTTGTGCCCCTTCTTCTGGCAACGGTTACACTTTCCGGTGAACTTACCAGGCTTCTGCTTCGATCCTTGGAATGCTGCAGGTTTCTCTTGGCAGGAATCCGCTGCCCGGTCGGTTTTCTTGAGCTCCTCGGCAAGAAGGCGCTCGCGAACAACATCCAGTTTTAGGTTTTCCTCACCTAGATTTTCCAGTGCCGTAACCAACGGATCGAACGACTCGGGAAGGGTAGCAAACAGCTGGGACACAATATCGTTCTCTTCAAGCTTCGCTCCGGCCAGCTTCAGTTGTCGGATCAGCTCTTCGAAGGTTTTCAGGTGATCTTTCACAGACGAACCTTCCATCATTCGTAGCTTCGCAAGTTGCTTCCTGACGAATGTCTGCGACGAGACGGACTTCTTGGCGTAGGCGGATTCATGGCTCATCCACATCTCCTTGGACGTCTCCTTGTCCCGCACCAAATGCAGCAAATCGTCATGAACAAATGACGTCAGCAGGAACGCCGCCTTACCGTCATCTTCCTGGAACTTCGTGAGCTCGGCCGCTTCCATCGGAGGATCCTTCTTGATGATATCCAACAGCTTCACGGACTTCAGATACTTCTCCACTCGAAATTGCCAATTGTCGAAACCGGTGCCCGAGAACTGCGGGATCCCGTGGACCAAATCCTTGCGTGAGTCGCCCATAACCTCTTGATTGTTAGAAAGAACCGGAACAGCAAAGTTTAAAAGTAGAATGGATTTTATTTAACGACTAGCTTGAGTGGAGTCTTGAACAGGAATGAAAAGTTTTTCACCGTTGTTTATTTAAGAAAACTTAGGTTGCTAGGGGTGACGTTCGGTCTCCAAGGAGGTGATCAGCACACTGCGTTACCGATTTACTCCAACAAGAACCCTTCAAAAAAGTCAAGGGAACGTTTGGAAAATTGTAAAATCTTTAATTTCTTGGTCTTATTTATGATGTTCCAGAAAATTCACATTCGTCTGGAGATCTACCAATAATTTTAGGAAACTATAGACAAATTTTCATAACTTTACATATGTCCAAAAATTTTCTGGGAAGTGTACAGATTTTTAAGACAGTTCCATTAAGCTCAGGGCACTACCAAAAACTTCCGGAGAATTGTAGGAACTTCAACTATATTTTCATAATCCATATTTTCATAATTTTACAGATGTCCAGAGATTATCAGGGAAGTGTAAAGATTTTAGGACAGTTCCATTAGGCTCAGGGCAGTACCAAGAACTTCCGGAGGATCGTAGGAACTTTAGGGTAGCTTCAAGAACACCAAGGAAGATCAGAGTACCTCAGGGCAGTTCATTTAACTTCAAGGAAATTGCAAAAAATTTACAAAAGTTCGAAGAAACTCGAGGAATTTCCGGAGCAATATTCTGAGATCTTCAGTGAAGTTTACATGTTTACAGATTGTTAAGCAGTTCCATTATGGGTAGGAATATTTAGAGTATTTCGAGGTAGATCAGATAACTTCAGAGCAGTTACATTAGTTCATTGCAGGAACTTTCAAGAAGTTGCAAGAAATGAGAAACATTCCTAGAATTTCTATGAGCACCAGAAAAATTGTTGGCACGTTAGGGAACTTCCGAGAACTTCTTGGACATTTAAGGAAGGAAGTAGCCCCGTAACGTGAGTAGATCATCTTTTCGTGGTACGTTACGGGATGTAAGATCTACCACTGATTCCTGGTCCTGACTACTTCAAACTAGGGGAACAGGATTTTTTCAGTAATCAATAAACTTATTTACATAATTACTTTTTATGCCTTGTTGATAGTGACAAGACTCGGCTTTGTCCACCGAGGAAAAAATGAGCTAGTTAGTCTTCATCTATGTGATTCCTAATCTTCAATTCGTTGTTCCCTAAAGGGTGTACCACATCAAATTGCATCACAGAAAAAAACGCTCTAAAAAATTACCCATTGGGTATTTTCTCTTCAAAATTTGGGTAGAAGTAGTTGAGAGTGTATTGTTCACACTGTATTTTTATCGCCGTCAGTGTTTCGCAAGTTGGAAAAAATGGCGTCACCCGCCAAGCAACGTCGTGAATTGATTTTGCGCAAAGAAAATCCTCAACTCTCGCATCGGGACATCGGAAAACAACTCGGGATCGTGCAGTCAACGGTGAGTCGTCTGATTAAACGCTGCTACGAAATTCTGAGCATCGAACGGAAGGAGAAATGCGGTCAGAATGGATGTTCTATTAGTGATCAGGATCACAAGTGTATCGTGAAAACGTTTAAGCGGAATCCCAATGCTTCGGTCAGGGATGTGGCCAAAAAGTTGAATCTGTCCAAGTCTTTCGTTCAGAAAGCCAAGGACCGGGAGGGACTGCATACGTACAAAGTGCAGAAGGCTCCAAATCGTTTTGAAAGGCAAAATACGGTGGGAAAGTCACGGGCCCGGAAACTGTACACCCAGATGCAGACGAAGCCACATTGTCTCATCATGGATGAGAGACTTACGTCAAGTCGGACTTCCGGCCAGGCTTGCTGAAACTCCTCAAACTTACTGGAGGTTTTAAAACACTCCTGGCCTGCGAGTTTAGCCAGCCCTCACCTCGAGTGAGTGGCGGCAGGAATATGGAAGAAGTAAACAAAAACTTCTCGAGAGAGAGGGAGAGTGAACTTCAGCGAGAGGATGATTTGACGTTATGTGCGCTTTTCGAGACTTCGGATGACTTTTTTGTTCGACGCAAGAAGCTCAAAGTTCACCCAGAGTGAGAGTAAGAGCGTGTGATAGAAAACATGAACATTAAGGGCAGCAAACCTCACTCTCATTTTATCCCCCTTCGCTCACAAGCTCTGAAGCTCAGTGGAATGATTTGGCAGTAGGCATTCTACTCCTCAGAAAAATGCTACACTCGGCTAATTTCAAACTCACGAGTGAGGCTCCATCAAGCCTGCTTCCGGCAGCTTCCGGGGCTACTGTTCTTCACCGCCCAGCAAAAGTTTGATGTTCTGGAGGAAGTAAGGAAGCAGAAACTTTCAAAGTTTGCTAAGAAATACATGATTTGGCAAGCGATCTGCTCATGTGGTAAACGGAGTCTACCGGGACTGTAAACGGGGAGATCTATACCAAGGAGTGTCTACAGAAGTGTCTGCCCAACAAACAATTGAGAGCTCTTATAAAACACCTGAGTTGATCAAACGTTGAATAATAGCTTCCAGAGTTGAACAAGAATGTAGTTGTATTGCCATTTGATTAAAAGTTTTAAAAGCTATTGGAGCACTCTTAAATGATTGTTTACGTTCGGTTTAACTATATGCTTTATAAGACCTACGATAACTTTTATAGCACCTTAGTTAAACTGATTCACAAGAGCTATACAGAACGTGGAATAAACGCATCAAAACAAACCATTGGGAGCTCTTATACAACACCTGAGTTGATCAAACGTTGAATAATAGCTTCCAGAGTTGAACAAGAATGTAGTTGTATTG